GGCTCCACACACCTACTATTAGACACTTAGGTGGAGAAACCTTATAAATACCACACACACACACACACACACACACACACACACACACACACACAGGTGTACAAACAGGTACTCACAGACACGTCTTGGTTGGCTGCTGCCTCTGAACATATCGTGCTAATGTGCTGCTCAGTAAGATTCAGAATTTATTATTTACTGTTATTTATGCTTATGTTGGTTGTTACTGTGGTTTCCCTGCTGTGTTTTCGTTTTGCTTGTTTGTTTTTTTTAGCAGGTGGTGAAGCAGATTTTCAGTGTCTTTTCTCTCTCTATCCCTCTTCTCCATTTTTCTTTCCCTCTTTCTGTTAACTCTCTTCCCAACTTCTCTTTTCTTCTTATTTCTCTTTCCCACCCCCGTTCTGATTGTAATAACTTAAAATAAAAAATAAAGATAAAAAAAAAACTATGACAATCAAGTGGGCCAGTATAGCAATAGGTCCACTTGGAAAAGTAAATCTGTTTGGCATTTTTCTTGGGCTTTAAACAATAATTCGGATTGCTACAGTGCAGACAGGAGAGGCAATAAACAACAACAACAAAACACAAAAAAACCCCAAACCCCCCTAAAACCTCCACAACAGTGTAAGAGACTGATAAAGGAACTGTTTTCTGTATAACGTTACGTTATTACTGCTGAAAGGGCGTCTACCCTACAATAATAGGGTATCCTTAGAGATTTTGTTAAATAAACAATGCCACAGTGGCATGGCATGTTTTGTTGTTCATTTAAAGTGGTATTTACCTCATTTTAAGACCTGCAAAGGACCATATTATTTTTGATTATGTCTTGATAGATTAAACCTTGCAAATGAAAGAGTGTACTTTCTTTTTTTAAACCATGATTGCAAGTGTTAAGGCATTCACACTTAATGCTTAATTGGGAGACGAGATCACATCACGAATATACTCAGTAGACCAGCAGACGGTGCTGCAAACCCACAGATAAATGCTGAAAGGTGTTTGGAGGAATGGAGAGGGAGACTGCATCCATAAAGAGCAAATATTGCTGCTCAGCGTTTTAGGACACTAGAATGTGATGCCATACATTATTCCAAAGATAAATTAAAAGCTTAACCTGCAAATACATTTCATGTTAGCATTTGTTAAAATGACAACAATAAATATAGACTTAACAGGCAGTTGCTGCTTGGAAACCTTTTCATGGCACATTTACTTCAGATTTATTTGCTGTGGTTCTCCCTCTCTCTGAATGTATGTACGTATGTATGTAGAGAATTATAGCATTTTGACTGACAAATGACTTTTTTTTTTTGGCGAATAACTGATAGATTTAAGAAATATACAGTAAACCATCCTAATACATTGATACTAGGTATGTCATTTCTTTCTTGTTTGTATGATATAAAAACCAGGAGCAAAGTGTTGTCTTTGTACTGTGCAGAGCAATTAGCAAAAGAAAAATATCTCCTGAACAAAGATTTTGTAAAAAACGATTTTGACAATCCAGCTCCAGACAGAATTCTCAGATTTGGAAGGATGCGTTCAGAGCAATCGTGGAGTTAAAGTTGCCACAAGATATAATAAGTATGCAGGGAGAAATATTAATGTGATAACCATGATCTCATAACATTAGACATCCTAGCTTCAAGCATTTGGTAAAAGTGGGAAACACACTGAGTTCAGGTCATGGAGTGGTGTCATGGAATTCAGGATAAGAATCTTCAGGAAAGACTGAGGCCAAATTTGAACAGTCTTTAGCCCTGCATGAAAAATCTAAGCCCCTTCATTCAGTTAAAATGTGTAAGAGTACTCTGGACCTCAGTGTGGGGCAAAGGTTCATATTCAAATCGGGCAACTCTAAGCACATACCCAAGATAACAAAGGAATAGCTTCAGGATAGCTCAGATTTGGACAGACTCAGAACCCAATTTAAAATCTCTGGAGAGATCTGAAAATCTATCCAACCTTATGGGAGAAACTGGCCATAGTCAAAAAGACTTGAACCTTGTAATTGCTGCCAAAAGTACTTAAACTATTGAGCAAAGGCTGTGAATACTCACGTAATAAATGTGCAAGAATTACAAGCAAACCTTTTTCATGCTGTCATCATTGTGTATAAAATGTTGAACTGAAAAATGAATTTACTCCATTTTTGAAATAAGGGTGTAAAAGTCACAAAATGTGGAACAAGTGAAATGCTGTGAATACTTACTGGATACACTGTAATAAAAAAAAATTTTTTTTCACCTTTTATTTTGAAAAGTCATCAAAAGTTTACCCAGGCAGCACAGGAAATGGCAAGAAAATGCAGTTGGTATTTTATTCAGTTTTTAACTTTATTTACACAATAAATAGAAATGTAAAGAAATAAAGCAACAACAGACAGAATCAGAATCCTCTGATCAGAATTTTATCTGAATCTTTCCCACAGGTGGTGCAGATGGTGTCAGATCATTCAGATGAGGGTTTCACAACAGTCGTGTGACAGACCTGATAGCAGGTCTTAGTCTGTCCATCGTCGTCCTCTGCTTGATATGCCATCAAACATAAGTCGAGCCATGGGTGCTGACCTGAGGACGAACAGGCAGACATGACAAAGCATCCAGCAACACAAACCTGCGGCTGACATTAAGCCTGCTGCTGCTTCTGGTTTTGCAAAGCTGCAGGAAGTTCTTTTTGTATATTGTTATATATAGATATATATATTGTTCACATACTGTTTTGTGCAATGTTTTGTTTCCCCAAATCTCTACCACAGAGCTGTAAAGTTAGACATATTAAAAAGCCAAATTAATGCCTTTGAAGCTTTCAGTATATCATGTCTGATTCTATGTTTTGGTCCAGTTCATTACACAATTTAGATCTAAAGTTATTATGTTTCCGTAACTAAAACTGAAGAATTATTCTAATGATTTGACCATGCACACTGTATGAAAGATGGACATGAGTCATGTCACATTTTTATGAGTGTTTTCCAATTTCCATCTTTCTGTTTTCAAACTGGACTTCCAAAAAGCACGAAAGAAGCAACTGCAATGAAAAACACAGAAGCTTTTTTTTCTGACGTCAGAGATCCAGGTAGCTGAGAGGCACTGGAGATTTCTATACAGCCAGACCTTTTTTTAATATGACCAGAGGAGCTGGGACCTATTGGCCTTTTTAAAAAAAAACATGCAGGTTTAAGGCACACATCCTCAACTTTTCTGACCAAGAAGCTATGTCAATTTTTTATGTACTGTGTATGGGTTTGACAGACATACCCACGTTGCCACCTGGTGGACAGAGAGAGTCCATGATTTGGCAGATGCTGTTCTGAGCTTCCTGATTGGCTGAAGCATCCTCTGCAGACACACCAAAGAATGATTCCTGGTGAAAAAAGAGAGTAAAACTCACAACTAGCATTTACATCTACAAAGCTCACAGACATTATAAACAAAAGTTACTTTCAGTTATCCTCTTATTTATATCTTGCTGTAAGAAGCAAACTAATATTTCTACTTTACCCACATTCTTGGTTAGACAAGAGCTTTTAAAAATTCAGAATTTGATTTGTTGACATCCAAAACACCTAAATATATGAATTTTGGACCTGACTTCTTTAGGGCAAAAAACTCAATCAGCGCAAAATTTTACAAGACAACAGTGAAATATATAATAAATCCAGATGTTCTCCCTTTGTCTAATCCCATCTGACACCAAACAACAGGAGTGTGAAACTCACAGCGTGTCTCCACAGGAAGACATCCAGCGTGTCGGTGGCATCCTGCAGCTCCAGTTTCATTAGCAGGATGAACTGCAGCGGCTGAATGCCGAGAGCTGCAGGCCAAATAAGCAGAAACATCGCCTGATTTATTTCAGAAGTTCAAATTGAGCTGAATAGAGATCAGCCAGGAATTTCTACAACTCAGTGAG